CTAGGAATTGATTTCAGCGTTTCTAAGTTGGCTTCTGTTTTCAATGAACTATAAAATCATAGAAATAAGGAGTAAATTTGGATGTAAAATCATTATGTTTTAATATTGTGACTGTTCCAACTACACATAAGCTTATACATGGCTGGAGTTGTTCTCTCAGAGTCTCAAAAAGACTCATCATTTTTAGAAACTAGCTACCATGTTGGTTGACTGCTTTATAATTATTTTGCTCACAGAAACTGTTTATCTAGCAGAAGTGGTTTCTTAAATTTACTTAATAACATGCAGCTACTATCTGCTTTAACTTGCATAAAAGCTCTTAATTGTGAACTCAAGACACTGCTAAAAGTGGCAACCCTAGGGAGGCTGGGGGGGTTGTACACTGTGCCAATCCTTGTTCCAGAAACGCACTTGTACAATCACTCAGACCTGGTAAAACGCATGGAAGCCTCTGCAGGGTTTCACTTGGCTCCATCTAGCAAAAACAAACTGAAGGCAGCTTGAGCCCAGATACATTTAACATTTCGGTCTCAATCAGATGAATATTATGGTTTCTGTCCCATCCATTAGTAGAACCAGGTGATCATATTACTTGTGGACTAGGTCAGGTAGTTTACAAGTGAATATTTAGTTTCTCTCTTGATAGTTTTTTCCAAAATACCAGCACTTGCAGCAATCAACAGCTTCCTTTATGTACACATAGTAGCATGAAAGAAGGGGTCAAAACTTTACCTCAATGAACTACTGAAGGGTGCAGGGGTGGCAGTGGATATAGTTTTCCTAGACTTCAGGAAGGCTTTTGATACTGTCTCTCACCCCATTCTCATTAGGAAGTTGGGGGACTGTGGCGTAGACACCCATACAGTCCAATGGGTCGCCAACTGGTTAGAGAGTCGCACCCAGAGGGTGGTAGTGGATGGGTCCTTCTCGACCTGGAAGGACGTGGGAAGTGGGGTCCCACAGGGCTCGGTCCTTGGGCCTGCACTGTTCAATATCTTCATCAGTGATTTGGACGAGGGGGTGCAAAGCACCCTGTTCAAGTTTGCTGATGACACTAAGATGTGGGGGGA